CAGCTGAGCCATCAGCTGATGTGTGTTGACTAGCTGTGATCATATGATATAGCTGGAATTGAGAACCAAACCTGACTTCGTGGCCTGCCTGAACTAACGCTATGCTCAATTTGCATAAAATCTTACAACTCAAATAAAAACTATACATGCCAATTTTTATGCTGTTTGGCCTTTTAACCAATATTTCTGTAAAAGATTCCCCTTTTGTGTGTCTGTATTTGCAAGGTGTACTGTCTTACCCTGACCTGATTTGTCTATCTATAACTATAGCTAATATGTTATCTGACCTGGCTTCCTGTCCCCACAGCCTGACGTGAAGTGTGTTGGAGAGGACATCTTAGATGAATTTATCATGAGTAACGTGGCAACAACTAATTGTGTGAGTATGAGTACTACCACCACCTTTATATCATTCAGCTTGTGACAACAGTCTTCCTCTCCTTCCTGCCAACCACAGTCAGTATTGAACTACCAACGGTTGAGATTTTGGCATGCAATATTTAAGACCACAGTGAAACGAGACCAGAGAGCTGAGCCTGCTGAACGTTCCTTTTAGCAAGACCTTTATCTGGCCCCTTACACGTTGGGACCAGAGGAAGTGGTTTTCTCCACTTAAAGGAAGAAGATTGATGTGTTTTAAAGCGCTACAGTTAGAAATATGGCCCTGATAAAGGCAGATCTTTTCTCAGACATTCCTCAGGCATTGTAAATCTTGAGACTGTGTTCCTGGCGGGAGACAAATAAAGAGGAGGGGTGATGTTTCCTCTCTTGCTCTTGGGTCCTTAAGACAAAAGGAGGAATAGTAAGGGTGTGGCTTGATTTTGTAGCCTTTAAAAAACATGGAGGTGTTTTTTTTAAATGTTTTTTCACATCAGGAATGGGTGAGGTATCTCTCACCCTTACAAAATAAAATCTAACTTTAAAATGTCATATTTGGAGCTATCTCAGAACATAATTATAGTTTTCCCCTACCGTGTTAAATCCTAATTATTACCTCCACCAAGGAGGTTATGTTTTCGTTGCCGTTTGTTTTGTTTTTGTCTGTTAGCAAGATTGTGGATAAACTACTAGCCCAATTTTCATAAAACCTGATGTAAGGGTGTAGCATGGACCAGGAAAGAACCCATTCAATTTTGGAGTGGATCTGAATCACAGGCCTGATACACAAACAGACATATATAGCAGTTGAGCTTGCAGATTAATATATCAAAGAAGACTTAGGAGTTGGCCTTGGCAGAGGTCTGTGCTCTCCGATTGCCCTTCTAGTTGTATGTGCAGTTAGATGATGCCTCAAACCACAGCAAACACATGATGTTCAAATAGAACTCACTGTTACATTGTACAGTATGTCAGTCCAGGTGCACAGATCCAAGTCAGATCACAGTCCGCATACTTTAGTCAGCCTCTATTTCGTTCATTACCGTATCATATCTTCTGAGCCAGGACCATCTGCAAAAGTCATTTGTCCAACTCAACCTAAAGTACACTTGGACTACAATGCCAGAAGCCTTAGCTGATTATTAGTTCAAATGCATGTAGCAAAAAAAAAACAAAAAAACCAGTTATTTTCTTCAGGCAAGAGTGAGTAAATGGCATGAAAGACCTTGATAATAGAGGAACAGCCTGTATCAATGCAACAAATTGAATAAAGCAACAATGCTCTGAAGTAGCGGGAAATATGAAAGGTCCTTTTCACACCACTCTGTAAACTCCCACTATGTCTAATATGTCAAACTGAAAATCAAATTGTTCCCCTTCTACACACATTATTTCACTATCAAATGAAATCTTTGTGTTGCAAAATGTGTTCATATGCACACCTACTGTAACTCTAAACTCCAGCCATGGGTGCAGGAGGCCACATAAGGTCAAGCAAAGCAGGGTATGAGACAATGTAGGATTCCTGAGAGTAACATGTGATGGGTCAGTGACACAGACAGATGGAGAAGAGAATAGGTTCCACTGGAGGGAATTGGGCGTCCGAATTCAGCCCTCCGGAGTTCCTTCCTCTCTGCCTCACAGATCTGGGTGTTGCAACAGAGTCCAGCTGTGGGCCCACTCCCAACTAACTGAGGATTCGGGGTTTGCTCAAAGGGGTCTTCTGGGAACACTGAGAGCTGTCTGGATCACATTACAGAAAATGAAGAGTGTTCCAGAGTTGCAAAAGTTGTGCAATGAGTTGATATCATAGTTTGCGGTCAAGGTGGGAAAAAGAAGGTGTGGTCAGCAAGTTTTCCATCCCACTGCATTTTGTCTCCATGACACACAAAAAGGCCTATGTGTGCTGATGGTCAGTGGGGAAAATCAGGAGCACACATTTGATTGTGGCCCCAATAAGACCAAAAAGAGATCAAATGTCTATGTATGTTTTAAGCTGTACATTTAAAGTTTTTCAGGTTTTTTCATTTTTAAGTTAAGTTTGTGTTTAATTCTCCGAATCAGGGAATTCAATTTTTCAAAATAGTCATAGTTAAAATGTATTGTAATATGTGATACACTTTACATTATTTCATGAAATGTGCTGCACAAAATAAGTGAAAATCAAGTCTTTGTGTCTGTTCTTATTGAGAAAGCTATTGTAAATTAGTACAAGTATGTACCTTTGAAATACAAATCCTTTCTTGTAGGAAGAAACTAAACGCATTATTCAGGAGAATCCTGCAGCCTGGTGCCAAAAACAAAACTGTCTTCTAAAAATCTTTCAAGATGGCAACTCGATGAAGTTGACCAGTGATGATGGTGGGTATTGATAGCATCTATCAGTATATAATAATTTGCAAATGCACATTTTCAATTATTTGTGACACTTACTGCAAAATACTGCATAGACCTGATAATGATGTACTGATATATTTCTCATATTCATTCTGCAGCTCCATTGCCTTCTATGCTAAACACTCTCCAGAGTACTCATTTGAAAGACCAGGTAAGATAGCACTATATGCTACCAGCTTGAATATGATGGTGTGTAGGTGAAACAACCATGAACCCATGGGGGACATCGTTTACTGCAATTTGTCGTACTGTTTGAGCAGTTAGTATACAAAAAAGTACAACATGCTTAACCATTTTTACTAACAGGAAATTACAAAATCATGCAATGTTGGACATCAAACTGCAGCTTTGGAATGACACTGCCAGTTAAAGAAAGTAAACGTGAAATGTCTTTTTTAAGATTTAATACTTTTTGTTTTCTAGGATCTTTCTTGAGCTACAGTGACACATAATTTATTTAAAGGTCCAGTGTATAACTATTGGCAGAAATGCAATATAATATTCATAGGTATGTTGTCATTAGTGTATAAACACCTGAATATAGGAATCATTATGTTTTTTTATATCTTAGAATGAGTCCGGTCGCAATGTTAAACCGCCATGTTTCTAGAGTAACCAAATAAACCAAACACTGGCTCTTAATAGGGGTGCTAACTTGGCAGTCTACATCGTGGATAACTGAGATGACTCTACACAGGCATAAGAACAGTGATATTAAATGGTTTCAAATTCACACACAGATACTTGTTTTGACCACAATCTCTTCAACTTGTTTGCAGCTGAATGCTACAAATGCTGTTGTGAACCCATCATCATCATCATTATCATCATCCGGTTCCTCTGTGTTTGTGGGAATACTGGTCTCTGGTTTGCTTGCTGCCCTTGCAATTACTGTAGGATACTGCAAATGCCAGCGCAGGACTGACACCAAGGGAGTAAGGCTGGTAAGCACATATTCCGTTAAGAATGGATGTTCAGTATACTATATGTTTCCACTGTGGACCTCATTTACTTACTCTTTGGTTTACATGGCCATGCTGGCTCCCAAGGAATTGCCAGTTGTCAGTGGTGCATCATTCAGCACAGAGCCCGTGAATTGAAAATCAATGCCTTTTCTTCTGCAGACGCTGCATAATTCTTCATTTGATCATGTTTGCAATTGCATTCCAATTTGTTCACCTTAAGTGGTTCGATTATATAATTTTCAACACTGATCTGAGTGACCTAACATATGACCTGCAAGTGTGTTTTATCATAAATAGGTCTTTTTTCACCATGTGTTTGCAGCTCTCCCTCAATTTAAATTCAGTAACACTATGCTTAGATATTCTCTGGCAAGGTTCATGTTTGACTACATTTGAAATCAAAACTGATTATTTTCTTGCTTTGGCATCAATTTCTGCCAGGGTTTCAATTAGGGAATGTTGCTGGCCAGCTATCACAGAGTATACATCGAGAAAGACTGTTTGTGCATTATCCAAAGACCTACGCCCTGCTCTCTGCTGCCTCATTCCTCTGCAGAGCTCACTGTTTCATCTACTAGCCAGATACAGCTGTATCACATGATAGAGACCACATTAGAGGACGTGTTTGTGTGTTTATAAGCAATAGTGGAAGGCTGTGGGGGTGGATGGATTTGTGTACATGTGCATCTTTCTATGCCTGGCAGAACTGTGCCTGAACAAAAAACAAATGCTTCATTTGATTGAGCATGCTTTATATTGTTATAAAAAGAGCTTCATGTTAATTTCAGCCTTTCCATGACGAGTTGTTCATTTGTGGTGTATTTGCAGGCAGAGGAGGCCTATCCAGTAGATCAGGAGAACCAGGGGAACACTCTTGTGTCTGTGGCCCCCCTCAACCCCCCTCCAGAAACCCAGGAGAAACCCAGTGTAAATGGAGAGTCCCCCGAGGCAGCCAAGACCCAGCCTCCTCCTCCCACCAACGGCCACTCCACCACCAAGACAGCAGACACCGAGCTGTGAAACAGTCTACAAATAACCTCTGCACAGGAATTACCCACACAAACACACACATACACACACACGTATATACACATGCCTCTGCAAACTCACCTCCCTTCCTGAATCCACACCTGCCCAACCACAGAGTGTCCTCAGCAAAGTGGACATCAGGGACTAGACCAATGTCCTACATCCACTCTCTTCTTGTTACGCTCCTTTTGGCTATGTGCCTCAGTACACATCAGGAAAACTAGTCTGATGACGATGATGGCGGTGATGAATTATGTCAGTGATGACGAAGGCTCAGTCCCTGGGTTGTTGACGGCAGTCAGCCTGGGAACGAAAGACGGGTGATTGGCAGTTCTGGGTGGAAAGAGAGTGTATTTTAGCATTAATCAGCACTGGTTCCCATGATGACTGCAGCCTCTGGAGTCACAGCCATATGTGCTGTCAACACACCGCAGGGTCCTTGCATGTCATCAGGTTTAAAGCTCCCACCAAACCTCCACTAGTAAAACAGCATAAGCACATAAATGAAATAGTTTCTTAGTTTATTTTAAAGCCATGAAAGAAGAAGAGAAAATGAAACACACTGCCTTAAAATCTGTTTACAAACTACAAACTTGAGAAAATCAATTTGGCTCTGATCTTGTTTGTCTGATTGAGTTATTGATCTGTTGGTGTGCGAATGTGTGTATGTGTGTGTGTCTGCTTTCAAATCCTGTGTGTGTGTCAACTTGCATCTGTACTGTGCATGGACTGTATGTACAGTATATCCATATGTGCATTTAAGCTTGTTTACTGTATGTATGTTTGGTTGATGGCAAGTGGTAGATTGATGTTGATTAAGTTTGTGAGTGAATGATGAGTCTCAATGTGCATGTGACATTAGCCATGAAAAGTGTACAATTTTGTAAAAATGAGTTGACAGAGTGATGGCTCACGGACTTGCAGTTGGTCCCCATGGTGAGGAGGAAAGAGTATTAAAGTTTTAATCACACCATTTTCTTGAAGAGGTGTAGCTGCAAGGAATTCTCTAATCTATCGTTGCAAACTGTGGTGAAATCAATTCCAACGCCAACAGGCGTCTTGACAGTGGCTTCATTGTCACTGCTGAAAATCAAGAAAGTGACCAACAGACTCATAAAGGCCTCAGACACAGAGTTTCTTACTGTCAGCTCTGTCCATTTGTCAGTGTTATTCTCTTTTCAATATACTGTATATGCTCTTTTTACTATCATTATTCTATTGAGCGGTATGTATAGTATTGTGCCTTTTTTTGGTATTGTTTTTATTACTTGTATTGTTCCTTCTATGTGCCAAAGGATTTCGTTTCACAGCTTCTGTTCTACTAAAATATGTACCTCTGTGGCACCATTACAAATTATGATCCAGGTCATACAGCAAAAAGAAATATGTTCAAGGGCTATGACTGTTCCAAAAAAAAACATCTAATGGCACAGATCTGTGATTTTCTTGTTCCTGAGATTAAATACAAAAGGAAAAATGCAATGTTTTTTAATTGAACTGGAACACAGAAATATTGTCTGATCAAGTTTGTGTAATTTCATTGCTAACTAATTTTAATGTGACTCTTGTCATTTTACTAGCATCCTGTAGTTTAAATTGGATTTAACATGAAAAAATAAAATGCAAAAAAGAAATAACTTTTTATGAATTGTCAGGTTTTCTGCCTCATTTTATTTCTATATGAATATAAATACTATAATCATAAGAGTGGGTGGAAGGAGCAATGGAGTTTAGAACCACAGAAACATTTGCACATCCATTTACACACTCTAACGCTCTAACACACATTGAATTAAAATCCCGTACAGCCCATAAGGTCACACAGCTGGTTTGCATAAGCAGTAGTAATGACATCAGTTCACACTGTTTTGTCTTTCACAGTTTGGGTGGGGCCGTGAAAACATCCACCAGCTGTCTTTTGGAAACACCACAGGACATATTAATGAGCGCAGTGCCAGTCCAGAGACGACTCACCATACATCATCACATCATCATGTTCATATATGTGTACCTTTAACTCATTTTCTGTCACCATCCACTGTATGTGACAGTGTGACTAGGTTATTTCCCATCTGCTCACACCCTTCTTTCATCACAAGATCAATGCCCTGGTGAATTCCTACCCTGCCCTGTCCCCTTTCCACACCCTACTAGGAAAATATTTCCTCAAGGCCATTGAGCAGTGCTAAAGAACAATCCTGTTGTCACAATATGCCACAACCGTCACAAAAAGCACATACCGCAGACATAAATATATTGGGTTAAAGACTGGCTAACTGCTGCACAGTGCAAATTTAAAAGGTGTAAATCCCGGTTCACTTGAACACTGCTGTGTGTATGTACACTTGGACATTTCTGTTATTTGCAACCTTAAACTCTGGGAGGTGAATCATCAGCAAACAAGATATTATTTTACACACAGTCTCTAGATTAAAAAAATCAACAGACTCCCCCCCTGTTAGAATATCCATTTCACTTCCCTTTAGATTGTTTTTCTGCATTCCTCAGGCTCTCCTTTCAGACATAAAGGGATGGTTCACTCAAATTACATACACAATAAAAATCCATACTCTCTCACTCATCCATAATAGTACCTTGCCAAGTAGATAGTTTGATTCACCCAGGTTTTGAGATATACATCTCTGGGTTTTCAGCCATCGGCCCAATACACTGGATATGAACTGAATTGAATTTGTGTTGCACGCAGTTTTGGAAAAAATCGACATCAACATCTCTTTCTCTGGTCTCTCCATAATCCAGAGACCTTGTTGTGAACATTTTTCTATTGGAAATACTATGAAAAGTGTTTACAGCACAGATACAGCAGGCGGTCAATTCTGTGAGCACACAAAGTAAATTCAATTCAACACCATTGTGCTCTAACTGGCCATGTAAGTGAATAAAATACGGTTTATTTGTATTTTAGGTGAACAAACCCTGTAAATCTTCCACCTATCGGCCCCTGTACCCCTACAGTATATCACTCCAAATCTTCTCTTCCACAGCTTTTCTTCAATGTCACACAAGTCCCCCAGCTCCTGCCTGCTCTCCTCCCTCCCATCCTTCATCCCATCCAGCTCTTAGGTTTCTCCACCCCTCTACTCCTCCATCCAGCCAAGAGTAGTGTATGTGCAGTGGAATCTGGGATTATGAACAAAACTCAGCTGGTTGTTTTTATTGTGGGGTGGCTCCCCCCTCAGCGTAGTTCCAGCTGCCAAATACGTCATGTTTTCCTTCTCCATGCCAAAGCACGCCCCTTCTAAACTCATTGATGGTAAGATAATATTGGGTGGAATGGAAGGGTGGGAGGTAAAGGAGAGCACACACAAGACTGAATGGGACCCTGAGGTCAAAGGGTGTGGTCTGCCGATGAGCCTCTGTGATGAAAATTAAAAACTGATAATCTTTCAGGTTCGTGAAAAGGTTACGTGCAATGCAAGGAGGCTGTATTAGCAAAGCAGTTCATCAAGTCTTTTATCCTGCAATGATTTTTTCCACAAAATGGAAACGTGCAAGATTAATGGAAACTAATATTTTACGGCAAACCCCTCATAACTGTCTGTTACATCATGCCTCTCCTCTGCCTGACTTTCCTATTTGAGGAGAAAATACAATAAGGAATGTTAATTCCTCTCTGGAACCACATGTTTGGTGTTGATACTGAAAAACAGTGGGTCTTCCCACAATTGATAAGTTATATTCAGTGGTTATTGTGGGGACCATGTACATAGTTACTCCCAGAGCAATTCATAACACTTCTGTCATCCCATCCTGGAAAAGAAATAAAGTCTTTAATCCAGGGAAAGCAAATAAACAAATACATTATTGGCTTAAACCTGCAATTACTAACTTTTAGCCACTTGAGGGCAGCAGAAACGAGCTGTGAACACGATAATAAAATGTATTCGATATGGGCGAATTTATGAGCAAACAGTTCAGCAGATACAGAGCAACATTAGCATTGATTTGGAGTGATATGCCTGGCTGGCTGGGGAATCTAAGTCCAATACTCACTCTTTTTGGTTTCCACTAGATATCTAGCTGTTTGGTCATTAACTACCAGTTTCTTAAAGATAATTAACCAGCAATCTTTGAAAAGCCTAGGTCATCTGAGGGTATTTATGGAAGAGAAAAATACTCTTCCAACCATCTGGATAAAAAATAAATGACAAAAATTTTTTTTTTAAAAAAGGTCTGCTGAATGGCCTCTGTTTCCGAATCAAAACAAAGATGGCAACCCGCATTGGAAACGTCTTTTGCAGCAGGCGGAATATGTTTTCATCCTAATGGTTGGAGAAGAGTCTTTTTGGGATTCTGGAAATGCCACCAGAATAGCGGTAAGTGCTTTTAATGAAGGGTTCAATCGACGGCTGTTGTTGTTACCTCTGTGACCCAAACAGGCCAGTACATGAGAGCCACAAACTGGGGCTATCTGCTGCTAAGTGCTCGGTGTTTACCAGCTGGTTGCTAACTTTACTTTCTATTTGGTGCTTGGTTGGTGGCATACAGTTAACCTAGCAAAGGGTTGTTATTTAACTGAAAACAGCAGCCTACTGTATCTGAAAACGACTGGTGAGAGAAAACCAGCACAATGAAGTTGTAGGGATTAAAAACCAAAACAATGAGCTGAAAGATGGTAAAATGCTCAGTAGAGCTGAGAGAGATGATAATACTCAGAGTTGTCACTCTGAGCAACCCCTATCACATCAACTCAAGTGATACGTTACGTATTTGTTATAATATCCGCACATTTCTTTGTAAAAAAAGTAGGCTAAAAGGAAATGGCCAAAAAGTGAAGAATAGCAAACTTATTTTTATTATTTAAACAGGAAGTCCCTCGAGATTGAAATCTCTTTTCTGAAGCAGACCTGTCCAAGATAGCACAGCAGTTACAATTCAATTCAAAGTAGAAATAACAACAATTGACAGGGGAAACAAACATCACACACACAAGGAAAGGCCTAAAACCAGCTCAAATAAGGCACTAGCATTTACATAATAGGCTAACCAAAATAAACTAAAGTAAACAGATGCTTTATAATATAATATAATAGCTCAAAGTTGAATCTGAATCCTTGGATAGAGATGAGTGACTGGAGAATTGGCTGCGTGCTGATATCCGGACCTGGAAAAGTACTGCACAAATCTGTAAATACACTGTAACTGTGGAGGAGAGCAAGCAAAACCATTGAGTTAATTGCACTGAACACTTTAATCTCAGTGTTCTGTGAATCAGCATGCATGATTTCAGAGGATGAATCACACACTCTATCAAAGCAAGAGATCTGTGATCAAAAACACGCTTACCAACCAAGGCACAATCAACCCTAACTTAGAATCAGTTAACACAGTGCTAGCTGTTTTAGTTTTTTAAGACTAAACCAAACCAAGTTTGAACGGGTCTCTGAACGTGAAAAGAGGAAGTGCCGTAAGTGTACTCCACTTGATGAAGTGATTTATGTTTCTGACATCTTGGCAGCGGTGAAAGGGTTTTTTTTCTTTCTCACGCAACACCCTTGCATGAACACAACAGTATGCATTCACCCACACTAGACATTCTCTCAAAGCTCATGACAACTGGAGAGAAACTGAATATACTTTCACATTTTTTTAAGAAAAGTAAAAAAAAAAAAAAAACATCATGGGAAATGTACTATGCAGTTTCAAAGCTGGGATCCACATTAAGGGAGGGGTCCACTGTAAGACAAATATGGGGCCCCACTGACTAATGTGCGCACATGAGGGAGTGACCAGGCACATCCTACATGTAACTGTCCCATTACACAGCTGTGTCAAAGGCCGGTCAGTTTTTCATTGATTCTTGTATAATGACAGTTTACACTTTCAGCCCTTAAAAGTCACGACAAAATGAGTGTTAATAAACTGCTGGTTCTTACTATCCGTCTAATATTTGTATTTTTTTTTGCTCTATAGCACCTTTCTTGAATGTCTAAAATAGCTCAAATCCCTGTTAAAACGAAAGGACTGAGCCGCATTGTGAGAACAACAAATGTACTAATGAACAAATGATGAAAATTGAGAAACTCAGATTTTATATTTTGTCTCCATAGACACCTAAACAGCAAATAACAACGGAAACTTAAATTGATATCCCGTCTGTTTCCTGCACATTGCTCTGTGCTGTCGTCTATTCCCAACATCTGCCGAGGGAAACAATCTGGAAGGCATTGTCTCTTTTTTTCCAGTGATGCAACTGTCCATAGAAGGCACATCACACCCTGTGGTAAACTGGAGACCACGCAGTCGATTGCATACTAATTGTCATTTACTAATGTTGATTTTAGTATTCTAGAAAAAATCCACAATAAGACAAGATACTAAAAGTCTCATTTACCAGGCTAAAAAAAAGGTGTGATGTTAATTACTGTAGCATCTAAATACTTCTTCTAATCTAAATCTTTATTTAAATGTACATGAGTAACAACAACAGGCAAATACAATAATAATAAGTGATTTCCATCAGCCCACATTGAACTGATCCAAACTTTAGATAGAGTAAAGCAGGCAGAGGAAAGTGAAGTTTGAATGTGATATTGTTGGGTTAGGATGCCCCCTGCTGTGGCCTTAGGGCCAAACTTGGGGGCACACAAGAAACAGCAAAGTGAAAAGAAATCTAAATTA